GTGACATAATGCTGCCCTGATATGCCGATCAGATCTAACGAAGTTCAAGCGACTGTGACGCTTTTCGCCGCGGTACCGGCTTCAATCTGATGGCAGATGGGTCGAGCTTGCAAGGGTATGCGGGTGCGGCGACAGGGATGGCGCGCGAAGGATGTGATGGTCGCTCACGGTTCGCCCTAGTGCCCAATAAAAAAGGTATGGCCTGAATTGCGTGCTCGGGAGCAAAGATGTCGACTTCGGTGTGCGAGCACGCCAAGTGAGCTTGGTGAATGGTTGAGCTGTGGCATAATTGGCACAAACGGATCCTTCTAGAGCATTCGTGATTACAACCTCATTTGACGTTCTGCTGTTTGCAATACTGCTGAGCACAGCAGCCAGCTCGACGCCTCTTTACATTACGTGCGTCAATATCTTTGCACGTAGTGTCCTCCAATCAAAAGAGGCGGGATTTTCTAAACTCGGGAGGTCTTTGTTGAGCGCATTCGTGATGTCGAAAAGTCAGTTCTGACGTCATGCTCTGGGGAAAGCCGGCTGTGCGGATACGTTGAGACGGCACTTGGATTCGACGGGAACTTGCATCCAATCCAGGGCAACCGTTTCTGAACACCACAAAGCGCCCGTGATAGATCCGATACTAGATCCGCTGCGTAGGAGAAGTTTGTGGGTTCAATTAAGGTTCTTTGCAGGATGGCAGCCGCACGTGGGGAAAACTGGTCTTTACTAAGCGAGCAGGCGCCATTCAACGTGGGGTCCTCGTCCTTTTAGGAAAGGAAGTTACAAGAGGTGCATACCGCCATTGTCAATTCTACACGCCAACTAAGCACCATTGAATGGGTTTTCACGATACTTTGTGTCTGGATTTCAAGAGCGGGCGGCTAGCTTTGTTGCTCTGGTTGAGGCTCAATCCTTCCGTTGATACGGATAGGTTGCTTTCCACAGAAGTGCTGCAACTACATCAAGCTAGTCTCGCGCGTTCGGCGTCATCACTCCCCGACTTCCCCTCTTGGCTGACCCTCAGTCCTACGTATTCGCATCCACACGGTTGCCCACCTTAAAGATTTGCACGACACGATACCTCCACCAAGAGTATCCAGTGCTGAGTCGAGTCGGATCAATCCGTCCGTCCAATCTAGGCGAACGCTACAATGTTATAACGCGTGTAGACGTGCCCGCTTGAGACCCGCTCCTACATGGGTCTACTATGTACAACGTCTATCAAAAAGGATCGCTCCCAGCAATTTTCTGCAAGGGTTGGCCGAGTAAACAGCACCGAGATCTATTTTTCGCCTACTGCAATAGAGCGAAACAGGAATATGCCATTTCTGGACCGATGATCCTTAACAAAAAAATGCATTGTTATTAGTTAACTACATTTCCTAATCGTATGCTGTTGTAGACCGCAGCACAGTAGAAGACTTACGATCTCAGCGTTCTTAGTTTCTTCTATTGCTGTTGTTGATAAAACAAGGAAGTGTTTCGGTCTTTGCAAGTGGAACGGCATGCAGATGTCTCGAGAAGTAAGAGGTAAAGTCTGGATTGTTAAACTTATATACCTGATTTTCCAACGAGCTCGTTGCTCTAGAAGAGTCGAACTTTTCCCTTCGATTTAAATGCAGCATACTCCTCAGTCAGCAGGCTAAGACTCAATGACTCGCGTTGGTTGCAAAGTATACTGTAGTAATCAGCATCAGATCTTGCATCGTGTGGATATGTATGGGAGCGTATATTGCTTCACGTGTCGCCGCGTTTCTGGGATATGTGAAGTCACCAATCATAATCCCGATCTTGATTTGGTAAACAGTGATCGGTAGGTAGTGAATAGTAGAGGACTGGTGGTGTGTGAGGGAGTTTGCTTCAAGGCCAACGGGAGCTGTGAGCAGACAACGTTTATAAGATGAGGCAAGTATAGGTTCTACTTGATGAGAAAGTGGTGCGTAGGGGTCAAGGTGAGCCCTGGGTTACGATCAACCATAGAATTCGTCACAATCAAGGTACTAGGGGTATATGAACATCACGGCGACAATCACCAAGTATTTGATCGAATGCTCAAAAATGATGCCAAGAAAAAGAATTTTGTAGTCGACTGATATACGTCAACATCACGAAGTGGCAGCAAATGATTGATGCATCAATGCTGCTGTCTTCGTTACGAAACGATCCATTCAACAACGCCAGTACCAATGCGCGACACTCAGCAGTACCCACTCGCTGAAAGTCACTTTCACATCTAACCCCTCTTCCTAGCCTTCTTCGCCCGATCATAGGCATTCTTCTCCCTGCCCTCTTCACCCTGGATCTCTGCCACAAGCCTCCGGTACTTGGTCTCGTAAGCTTTGTCCTTCTCCTTCTTCTCCTTGAGCGTCTCTCTCGCAATGAAGTTGGCGTCCTTGCGCAACTCCCTGAGTGCACCTTTCCTCTCGCGCTTGTACTCCTTCTGCAGCTTCTTGGCCTCTGAGCGCTCCTTATCAGGGTCATAGTGGCGGTTGGGATCGAAGGATTCTTCGAATTTGGGAATACTGGATTTGATGGGTAGGGGACGGTGATGGTGTAGGAGAAGGGGTCGCCGTTTGGAGCGTGCAAGGGATATCCGGGCACGGAGGTTCTGGTAGGTAGACGTCTGGTTTGCGGACTTGAGGGGTGCAAGTAGCGGGCTGAAGATCTCGATGAACGCGGATGAGGCACTCCAGAGTTCGGCGGCAGTGATGACGTTCTTGCTGTGCGCTGCCAGGAGAGCGGGCGTGGCGTGCTCTGATTTGAGGGCAAGTCCAGTGTAGCGTACAAACTCAGGAATGTATCGCTTCGATAGTCTTTGGTATTGCAGACATAGCGCACCAACGAAAGCACCTGTTGCAACATCTGTAGTAGAAGCAGGCGAGGTAAGTCCCATCCAGCGAGCCATGAGGGTGACGGCGGGAGTGACGACCTGGTGGAAGTGATCAGAAGTGGGGAAGATGGATCCAATAGCAGAAAGTAGAGCCAGATCACCTGGTGTTGGGTCGTTCGAAACCTGAAGCTGCTTCAAATGTTCTCGGAATTTGGTAGCAATCTGAACCGGGTATGACCGCGACATGGAATGGATATGACGGATGATCGCTTCAATCACAGCCAGGGACACAGCTGGCGTCTGGTTTGATAGGTAGGAGACATGATCAATGAGCGCACAAGCGAAGTCGGCAAGCTTGTTCTTGTTGTCCGAATGCAGTCCAGCATGATAGAGCGCACGTATCCTCTGGATGACGGTGGAGGTATCGTTGGGGGTAACATCCTTGAAGACACTCAGTAACTCCTCATGAGTCCGCGGACATTTGTAAGTAAACGCCAACTTGGACGAAGGCTCAACACCGAGAGTGAGGACGCCGTTAACAGCCTTGGGTTGCTCTTTCCGCTCCGGCATGACGTGCTTCAAGAAGTCTGCGTCCTCCTCGTCCATGGCCATTGTGTCGTCGATTGCAGAGCCAGCATCAGACTCATCGTCGGACATATCGGCTTCTGAGTCGGTAGCAACAAGGTCATCGTCCATGATGAAGTCGTCCTCGTCTTCAACGCCGTCGGGTCTCAGTTGGCCTGGCGCTTTTAGTCCGAACTCGGCAGCATCATCTGGCAGGCTGTCGTCATCTTCGTCTTCATCAAGCTCCTCGATACCGTTTTTGCGTGGTTCTTCGTCATCGCTGACAGGCTCTCCGTGCATTCTCTTCATGCGCTTCTGCTCAAGTTCCTTCAAGCGATCTGCCTCTTCTCTAGCCTTCTCTTCTTCCGTCTTTGTTCGTTCTGTCGGCTTCGCTCGCGAATCTTGCATCAGTTGGCGCACACGTGTATCGTACTCTCTGTCCTTGTCTTGCTGTGTAGCTCCAGCTAGAAGTGCAGCGCGGTCGGCGTTCATGCCAAATTCGTTGACCTGAGGGTCCTTGGGCTTCTCAGGCTCGGGCTTCTTGTTGATGTGTCCTCGTAGAGCGGCCAACACGTCATTGAGGTCCTTATCAAGCTCGTCTCGTAGCTCATCGTCGTCCTCTTTCTGTGCTTGACGCTCGTATTTATGCTGCTTCGACTTGGCCACAACCTCCTTCATGACCTCTGCCTTGCTTTTCTTCCTCTCTGGCTGATCCGCAGCCGCGTCGCCATCCACATCGCCATCCTCATCGTCTCTCCGCCTCTTCTTCTTCAGGAAGCCATCTTCGCCGTCACTTGACCCAGCAATGCTTGCCGCATCATAGTCTTCCTCTCCAATCTCATCGTCAAAACGGAGAGACTGTCCACCGTGGGTGAGCTCAACCTCGTCAGCATCATCCTCAAGGTCAAACACATTCCCGCCCCTCTTGCGCTGTTGTTCCCTCTCAAAGCGCGCCATCTCACGGTCCTCCAGACTCATTGTCGGGTCATCTTCACCTATCCGCCTATCGAGGATACCTCCGACCTTGTTCTTGCGATGCATCTCTGGAAGCAGCGACTTCCTACGTGCCTCCTCGCCTGCGCTCTTGGTGACGCCGGGTCTACCGAGGATCTTCTTGGGAGCATTCTCGGCCTGCGCAGAGACATACTCATGCTTGTGGGGGCGCGCAAGGTGCTTGAACTCGAAAGGATTGAAAGATTCGCGAATTGAGGCGAGCGCAGAGGCTTTCCGTTCGTGGTGGTCGGCGTTCTTGGATTGCGACTTCTTCTGCTTCTTCGACTTTTGCGGGCCGGTGATGCCTTGTTCGCGGAGCGAGGCCTTTAGCCGCTTCAGCTGTGAGGGCGGCATGTCTGTGACTATGTCGAGGCCCGGAGACCTGTGAGTAGGGTGTTCGGCGCTGAGAGAGCTCGTGGGCGACACGAGATGGTCGGCTTGAAATTATTTCCCAGACCAAGATTTCGGCATGGATGGCCCCTGTCTAGCGCCACATCCCTGCAGCCCGCTCCCCACTTTCACGCGCGACGGCCGTCACGGCGCAAGTGCATTCACGACCGCAGCATGTCTCCAAGCCTCGTTGCCATATGCCTCACACCATGACCAAACACACCTCGATATGGCATCCAGCATCCCCGACCACTGGCTCTGGCTCGGCCTCGGTACAGACCCCTCTCACCATCGACCAACCCAGCCCCACTAACCCATCTTCCAGGCGTCTTCACATTCATAGCCGTCCAGCAAGTCTCCCACGGCCTCCAAAACATGTGCACCCTCACCGAGATCCGAAACCCACAGAACATCCCGCAACAACGGCGTACCATCCCCTCCGGCCCGCCCACCCACCAAGAAGATGCCATCAAGACAAGTTCTCTCTTGACACTGGCGACAAGCCACAACAACGATATCCGCGCCTCCGCTACAAAGATCCTCTGCACGCGATTCTACGCTTCCAAATCCGCCAAAGACCTGCTCATTAAGGATCTGTACTGTGCAGATGGAGAGGTGTTGCATCGCGCGCAGTTGGCGTTCAATCTGTTAGGCGATATGGGTGTCTGGAGAGACGATTCTTTGTTGCCAAACCATGGGTTCAGGTGGGATGTCGTCCAGCCTAGAATGGGCGGTGGCTCTCAGGATGAGGTGAGGAGGAGACGAAGAGAGGCCATGGTGATAAGTGACGGGGACGGGCTGATTGGACGTGATGATGTTTACATGAGGGATCCGGAGAGGGAGGAAGAGCAAAGTGATGATGGTTTGTTCGTTTCCTCTTGAAGTTGCCGACTCGGGGACCGGATGCGGAACATGAATTATGATACCCTGATCGTGTTAAGATCATGAGCGTTTGATGTAAATCTATTGCTGCTTCAATGTTCTGCCCGACTGTAATGGCGCATATCACTCTCAACTTCGTCTATCGTCCGTCCTCACTCCGTCCAAATCCTCTGAACCCTCCCACATCCCTCCTGAAGAACTTGCCAATATTCTTCAAATTACTCTCCAGGTTCGCGCCTCCATCCGCACCTCCGGCCTGCTGCTGACCCGGCGCAGGACTACCGAATCGATCAACACCATCCCTTGCGGCATTGACGAGCATGTTACCCAAGCCTGCTGCGTCGAACCTGCCCCCACCAAGACTCGGTGTTCCCATCGTGCCCATGACGCTTCCTGCCGTACTTCCAACGCTACCTGCAGCCTGGATCTGCAGTGGCGTAAGGAAGGGCGAGTTCTGCACGAGGTTTTCGTGGTTGGGCGATGCACGGAAGGCAGAGAAGAGGTCGAGAAGCTGAGTTTGCTCAGCCTTGCGGATGCCCTTGAGATCAAGAATCTTGCGGAAGTTGGTGTCGGATTTGTCGGCAATATGGATAAGGTAGGCTTGCACGAGGGCTTCTGGCGGCGAAGGACGAACTTGCAACGTTTTGAGAAGAGGGTCGATCTTGGACATGGACTGATTTACGCGTTTGATGAAGCTTTGGCATAGTTAGTAGTGTGTGGGCGCAACTCGGAACTGACTTGAGTAACATACCTTGCCGGTGGCGCTGTACCAGGCTCCTCATTGAGGGTAGGGAGCTCCGTGAAACCCTTCTTCAGCACGTAGGAATCCAGCAGCATTTGCTCCGCTCCAACTTCGGAGATTGGCTTGCACTGCATTATGTTCGCAATGTACGTGGAAGCCATAAGATCGACAAGGTTGTCGCTGAAAGCTCGCGCATACTGCTGCTTGTGGAGATGCTTCAGGATCTCTCCAGATCTTTCCTTTACGTTACGCAAAAGTTCAGCCACATAACTACTTTGGTCGCCAACACTCTCGAGCTTTGCCCAAGGTGTATTTCGCATCTCCCTCCAGCTAGGTTCGCACGCCATCTCGACTTTTCGAACGAGCATTCGGACTGTGGCACTAGCGATACCCATGAAGGCATCAGCCTGACTCTGCAAATCAACCTTTTCCTTAAAGTCCTCGTCTATGCGGCCTCTGATCTTCTCCTCCAGTTGGTTGCAGGTCATATAGCAATAATCTGCAGTGTTGAGAATGAGGACAGCGTCTTCGACGGAAGGTCCTTGAGCTCCTGCTTTCTCGCTAAGAAAATAGTAGAGCACCTGTTGCCCGTACTGATCCAGGTACTTGGCAAAGGTCATGGATAGCTCCTGTAACCTCGTTCCAGTCGAAAGCTTAGCGCACTGTGCCAATGTCAAACGATAGAATTGGAACAGCTCTGTCGATGAGGGTATCACAGCTTGAGGGGAGAAATCCTCCTCTGGGTTTCGGAGGGGTTGTTGCCGGTACTTTGGTATGAGATTGGCGAGTTGCCTATAAAGTCAGTCTCGCGATGACCAGGTAAGTGTGTGTAACATACTTGTCTTGAGATTCGACCCAGAGGCTCATGTAGGGTTCAAAAGCCTCGGAGATGGCCTGACTAAAGCCATGCGACCGGTCGTCCTTGGAGGCTACTGTGTCCATTGAAGAGCGAGACTGCACAGAGTAAGCATGTAGTTCGATACGATAGCCTGTCTTCACAAACCTCATTAGCGAACCGCCTTTCTAAACTGTGTTCAAAGTCAAGTGTCTCCTGCAAGCACGAGAGAAGCAGTTCGACATCCAAACTCTGCCCATCGCCTCTCCGCACAGACCTTTGTAATATGGACTTGAAGTCTTCACGGGTTCCTTCGCAGAACGAGTTGGCCAGCATCTCATTCACCCGCCAATAGGCCGGGAAGATGGAGGCATGTTCGACGTCGTATGTCTTCATCATCCGGTTGAACCAGCTGTATCTTCGTCCAATATTGTCTAATGATCCAGCCTGGTACCATTAGCGTGCTATCACCATGAGCGAACATGGGTGGCTCACTTCATCGTTGCCCCGGAAGACCTGGCGATACTCGCGCAGCTGCGTGTTGCAATACCAGTTGATGAGCCTGGTGCGGGCATGTTCTCCGAGCGCATCGATAACCAGACAGGCTTCCGCGAGCATGGCCTTTCGTGACGCCGTTTCCCCCTTGGCGAATGTCACCTCGAAATCCTCGCAGACCTGCTCCAGCAATTCGCCCTGTACGTCCGCCACATTGCGACTCAAGGTTGCAATTTGGTCTATAGAGCGATAACTCTTGAAGTGTGCCACAAGTTGTATCACAGCCTGCAACAGTTGTGCGCATTCCCTGTACTGTCGCGACTTGCTAAGACTCCGTAATTGTTCGTAGGCCGTCGTCAACATCTGGAGTCGCTTCAACGCCGTCATAGAGAGCGTCAGGTTCTTCTTTGTGCTATCCAAACGCTTTATGTCTGCAGTCATCTCGGTGATGGTCTGTTCTGTCTGCATGGCCCGCTCCCGGACGCTCTCAATCTTCTTGAAGAGATCAGCCAGCTCTGCCTTTGCAACCTGTATACGCTGGACGCTGTCGGCGTCTGAGCTAGACTGGGAGGCGACAACGCCGGCAATGTCTTCGTCAAGGTCATCCTGGTAGTTGCGAAGGGCGTCGGAGGTGGCAGAGACGGAGGAGAGCGTGGCGGGGTGGGAGAAGAGGGCGTTGAGATGGTCGATGGGATCGTAGTCAGCTGCATTGAGCGTCAGCGCCGGATCCATGCCTGTGATTGACCTTGGGACGGCGTACTAGATTCCAGCGAGGTGGAAGGTGCAGGCATATGGTTCGGCGGGAGTCCGCATCAATCGCATGCGCCCGCGGTACACGGTTGCAATCGTTGCAGCGGCGGGCAAGGCACGTTCAGGGTACAAGGCGAAGAGAGACACGTCTCGTATTCTTCGGGAAGCAGTATGTGCGACGTGGTGTTATCGGCAATTCTGCGATCTTCTTCATGCTTCAACTAGACAACATCCCACGCACCCCAGCCCTCAATCAAGGGTCTGAGGGTCCAAGCTCGTCGCGCTAGAGTAGCTCTTGCGTAGGGCAACATCACCATCGAACACACACGGAGCACAAACAGCAGCTTTCAGACACAACAGGACGCATCAATATGTTTGGATGCTACATAATCTCAAGTTACAGCCACGTAGCTTCTATTGCGGGAACAGACCTAGGAAGCCATTATACACCAGACTGCGATCCTTCTGAGTGAGCGAGCTTGCGTCGCCTGTACCGGTCCAATAGAAGAGTCCACCTAGTCCGTTTTGTCGCACATAGTTGGCCTTCATTCTGACAGTTTGCGGGGTATCGTATGTGACTAGCCCTCCGTCACCACCAATACAGTAGGCTGCGCCCAGCTGCTCGTCTACGTGCTCGTCCGCACCCGGACGGGGCAAGTCTCGGTACTCGAAGGTGCCCTCCTCTCCTGCTTGCCCGGAGAACGAGTGACCTATACCACGGGTTCCGGTGAAACTTCGGCCGTATGCTGGCACCCCCATGACGATCTTGTGTCTTGGGACACCTTGCTGCATCATGTAGGAGACAGCTGAGTGGCAGGATATTGCGGCTTCGGGACTGTGCGGAATGTGTGGTGTGAATAGTTGAGCTTGATGACCACACTTTTTCACCCAAGGCCCGCTGTAGTCATAAGCCATGAGGTTGATCATGTCCAGATAATGCGAAGCGTGCGCCAGGTTGATATGCTGAAGGGCCCATTCGCCTGCTGGAAGTGCTGAGGAGAGGGTGTATTGGGGCGCCGGCAAGTACTGACGGAGTGTGGCCAGAAGAGCGATGTAATCCCTGCCTTGGCTGGCATCTGCAGGGTGTTCCCAGTCGACTGTTGCCTGTTCAGTAAAAGTATTGCCATTCTGGATCAATATACTGACTGTCGATGCCATCAATACCAAATTGTTGTACTAATGCCAATGATGTCTGAGCAAAACGCTCACGGCAGGCAGGGTCTCTAGCAACACCCGCGAAAGGCTCACTGCCTTTTCCACCGCCGCCAACAGATAACACAACCCGTAGTCGGGTGTACTTTCGCTTCAACATGGCGAAAGAGTTAAGACATCCTTTTGTTGCAGGAATGTCGTCAGTGCCTGGGACATCGATTTGAGCATCCGCCCATTCATCACTGAGCTGTAGAGCGAGTCAGTTAGGGAAGCTTCGATGCACCTGATGTACCTACATATACAGTTCCATCGTCTTTTACCCTATTACCATGTTAGTCCATGTATTTAGTAACCACCTCCAGTGATTAGCGTACCAGGCAAAGGCGTAGAAGACATGCGAAATGACATCGTAGTTCAGCGATACAGGTGGCTGATCGCGATAGATGCGCCAGTTAGGATAGTAAACTCCGTTCCAATACATAGCTTGCAGCGGTGTGGAAAAGGTGGTGTCGTGACCAGGCGGGTTGAAGTAGTCTCGGCTCATTTTCGGTCGTCGTAAGCTATGGCTTAGCTGTGGCTAGCTTCCTGCACGTCAGAACACCCTGCAGGTAAAGGCCGGCAGCCGGATCGTAAAGGGTGAAGGCTGAACGGATATCGGAAGCTCTTTGTCGTGTTAGGGCTTGAGGTATGGCCTTGGTAATGAGGATCGGATAGGTGTGCATGTAATACAATGGCAGGAGCAATATGTACCGATTATCTGTGCGACTTGGAAGATGATTGAGGAAGGAAAGCGAATGAATGGCTTCAGGTAGTCGAGAATAATTCTGGAACACATCCTGCTTGTATGTAAATATAAATGGAAGGCTATCAATAGTGGCGCCAGAAGCCATCGGTGATGCAATGTGTTTGATGATCGCCTCAAGGCCAAAGGACCGCGCAGCCATCCTAGAACGAACGAAGGCTCCTATGCGTGACTTGCTATAGCGGCTCTACTACAGACTAGACGGTGAAGCCCAGTTTGGCAAC